GTCAAACCATGGAAGTTTTCAGCGCATGTAGGGCTCAGAAAGGCCACTGGGAAATCATCGTATGGATATTGCTTTAAATATGTTTGAAAATAATCCGCAAATAAGCATACGAAATGTTTCAGAAATTATGGATATACCTCGATCAATAGTAAGAAAAATTTATGAATACCTATTTGATAGTTATCCTAAAAATAATAATTTTAGATAGGAAGAATCACAAGAATGCAAGGATTACATCCTTATCATTTTAAACGGGTGCAGTATTTAACGGAGGCAGATTTTTTACCACGAGTTTTGCAAGTGGATATTAGCAATTGAAAACACTATTCCTAGAATATTACGGTCGGATGAGTCAATATTTACTAGGAATGGTGCTTTTAATTTCCATAACATGCATCACTGGTCAGATGAAAATCCAAAAAAGTTGTTCGCCGTACAAATTTCCAACATAGATTTTCATTGAACTTATGGGCAGGAGTAATTGGGGATCAAGTAATTGGGCCTATTGTACTTCCCAGGCGTCTTAATTCAGAGGTGTATCTGAACTTTCTTCAGAATAAGCTCATGGATATAATACCATTGGATGTGCGCCAGCAGTTTCGAGAAAATATGTTTTTTCAACATGAAGGCGCCCATGCACATTTTGGACGCAATGTTCGAAATTGGTTGAATGTCAATTTTCCAGACAGGTGGTTAGGCCGAGGAGGTCCTATAGCGTGGCCGCCAAGTTCACCTTACCTAAATCCATTGGATTTCTATTTTTGGGGGTCATTAAAAGACCTAGTTTACTCGACTGAAGCAAATACTCAAGAAGATTCACTTCAAAGAATCCATCAGGCTGCAAATGAAATAAGAAGAAAAAGGTTTTGCACTTTTCGGGCTACGCAATCATTAGTTCGTCGAACAAGACTCTGTATCCAACAAAATGGGAATTTATTTGAACACTTATTGTAAAGCTAGTTTTAAGTATATCCAACTGTATGTCTTCTTGCTTAAACAAATTTCAATTTCGTTCCTAGAAAAAAATTATTTCTTTTGTTTTTGCCTAAATGTTGCAATAGAAATATGTATTTATGTAATATTTACCAATTATTAAATTAGTCTTTTCGTCGCCATGGCTAATTATTCAACAATTCATTTAAATTCGCAGTACATTTCCTAACGTGACAATTTTTTTAGTTTAATTTTATTCCAAAATGGCACAATTTATCGATATTCAATAGGAGTACATTTTTATGTAGAAAATCCTAAATTTTCAAATTCTAAAATTGAATTTCAAAAATAGAATCACACAAAAATGTTGGGGCTAAAATAACCCTGTTACATACGCTTCCAAAAAAAAATGTCTAAAATTGTTAATATTTTTGAATCCAGAATAAAAAACTAAGTAGACTAGAATACCAAATTTGATGTCTTTATCTCAACACGTTTCGGAAATATTAAGGAAAAACCATCTTCAGGGGAGCCCCTTTAAAAGACCGTAGGGCCCTTAGGGGACGTTTGTCGACCTATGTTTACATAAACCTTTCTTCCTATTTTAATCTCCAGAAACCGCTAGTAGAATATTGCACACTTTTTTCGGGACACCCAGTATATGAGAATTAACTGAAAAAGTAGCTGTTACCAATCACTAGATGATGACAACATAACAGGTAACATTGCAAGTTTTTTGATGATTCGATGAAATGATCGTTGATCTTTATTTAACTATAATGCTGGACAATGGCCATTGAGAATAATTGTTAGTACTTTCAAATATTTCTTATCAACGCAAAAATGTTGATCTCATTGAAAGTACGCGAAAAAAATAGTTAAGGAATTTCCAGAAGACATTGAAAGATCACACCTCTACACAGTTTACCAAGTAAATACCATCATTTACGTGTGTATTTTGAACTGTTATTTTAGCTAATAAGCTAATGGGTAATTCTTTAGCTTAGCTACACTAGCCTTTTTTGTTTTTCCGTCCGAATATGCAGTAGGTTTGGGTTGAAAATGATGGAAATGCGAATAAAAATGCCCGCAAATGGGCTAGTTGCAGAATATTGTTGATATTATCTGGGTTTTAAAAGGAATAAACACCTTAATCACAACATTTGCAGAATGGAACGGATCCTACACATTCTGTGATGTTGCCACATTGAATAAATATAAGAAAATTAACGAAAATATGCATTTCCATGCGTAGCAGCTCTCCTTTTAATCTAGAATTAGTTCCTCTTTGAGTCGCGGCGCCCGAGAGCGCGCCGCTAGTGCATTAGACGCTAGGCAGAGTTGTGTGGAGTTTAAAGTCATTCAAAATAATGAAATCTGGCAACATCGCACAGTCTTTGAAAATAAACCTCCCTTAAAAACCCATTACCTATATTGTAAACTATTTCACAACCTTCATGTGTGCGGTCATTTTCGGTAATTTGAGCGTAATCGACAAATTTTTGCAAACATAGCCGTCATATACAGGATGACCCATCCAGGTGTGGACGGAATATTACTCATAAGCAAATACATTTTGGGAAAATCTATTTATGGCATGTTATACATGACATATGAGGACACCTTTCTAAAATATTCTATACCCGTCCACTTCGACTACCCCTCAATACGCCATTTTGAGTGCTGAATTTTGTATCAAAAAAAAAAAACTTACACACCTCAGATTTTATCTCATATGTTACTTTTTCGAGTTTTCATTTTTGCTCATAAAAGGTAGTCAAAAACGCGAATTCTACTTTTTGTCAAAAATTTCTAGTGCATCACCCTGTACATTTGTGCAAGTTCAATTTTTTATAAGTTTTTTGTAAGTTTTCTTTTGTATAAGGTTTGATTCAGATAAAATCACTAGATGTTGAGTTATTCAGCTTTTAATAGAACAACACATCAAAATTAAGGGAAAAAATCACATCATCCCTGGAAACAAAAGACAAACAGTGGGCTAGTTCCATATTGCCACTAGGAGTACAGATTTGACGTAAAAACTAATAACAATCGGAACAGTATAATTCAGCTTCAAGCGTAATAGAGAAAAACAACTATAACAACAACATAAACAAACAATTATCACTACTCAAGACCTAAACTACAAAAACTGCTCGAACATATCTCAAGCATGTTGAATACACAGTCGTAGTCTTTGGATAAATGACCGTTGCACATCTCTCAGCATGTGTTACCTTATGTTCAGAAAAGCATCCTTAATCCTTTCCTTCATATTTTCCGGGGTAGATGGTGGAGATCTATAAGTCTCTTGCTTAACGTAGCAACATAGAAAGAAGTCCATGGGTGTCATATCTGGTGATCTAGGAGGCCAAGATATAGGTCCATGACGACCGATCCAACGATTGTTACTCCAGGTGTCCAAATAGTTACGCACACGACTATGATAATGCGCAGGTGCGCCGTCATGTTGGAAGTACATATGCATCCGAGTTTGCAGGTTGACATCCTCCAAAAGCAAAGGCAAAAGCTTTTTAAAAAAATTCAAGTATTCTGTACCTGTTAATCTGTTGAAAAAGAAAAGCCCGATTACTTGTTTGCCAATAACTGCTATCCAAACATTCAAGCTCCATTTATTTTGGAAATCTATTTGCCTAACCCAGTAACGGTTTTCCGTCGCATAATACGTAGTGCATGTTATGCCTGTTGACAACACCTGTGCTGTTAAAAGTTGCCTCAACTTTAAAAGAGCCTAAAACTGATTCGACTCATTGGTGACACTTGGATAACATATACATTTTTTACTGTATTCCACTGCTCCACTTGATTCGAAACGTTCTCGTAGTGTAGAAAATGTTTCCGGCCTTGGATGTCGCATACACCTCATATCTAAGTAGCTAATTACCAAAACCCCATAGTAGCTATATTAATTTTCTTCTTTTGACTTGGTTTATCCAAATATGCAATAAAATTTGAGGCATTTCATTTGAAAAATCACCCTGTATAATGGCCAATATTTTATAAATGTGCCCTCAAATGTCATGTATAAGATTCCACTAATAGATTTTCCCAAAATGTATTTGTTTATGAGTAATATTCCGTCCACGCATGGATAGGCCACCCTGTATATCCGGAGAGTTCAATCAAAATATTTTTTGCAAAGATGTATAAATCCACCATTTTGATCTTTGACAACTGGATATCGTTATCAGTTACCTGGAAAACGTAGAAATAGATTTTTTTGTAAAATTTAATTTTGGTCATATTTTAGGACTTTTAAACAGCGCGTCAATCTCGCGTGGCCTTAATTATAAGTGTAAATGCGTGCCAAAGCATTTAAGTTTCGCATAGTATAACCATTAATCATCATTATGTCCACTTTTCATGCGCATGTACAAGGCTGATGCTGGCATCAAAAAGCCATTGTATTGTTAGTGAATTCTGAATTTATTATATGTATATATATATATATATATATATAAATTAAATCTTCCGCCTTTTGTTGGGTACTTCGACAAAATTTAAGCAAAGATGACTCTTTATACTTTTTTAATTCTCTCTAGCTTTCAATGGACTTTGCCATCATCATCAGGAGAGTAGTATGTGATGATGTTGCTAATTGTTGTTTACGTATAGGATGAGGGAAACGTCCAGTAACATGGTGAGAGCTGGATAGATGGTACAATGGTCAAAATTATATAAAATATGACAAGAACAAGTTAAAAACAGATTAGAAATTATTTAAAAACATTAAAGCATTACATCGTGAAGCCACTTGATGATTTTGTGCTATCGCTGAAAAATAGATAGAGATGTATAGAGATATTTGTCGTCCTCAGAGTGTGCTGACTTTGAATCACGTCTTCCGTTATTGTCCTAACTAATGAAACAACCGATTTGGTGCCCAAGAACACCGAATCTATTTTAAAAGATAGTTTCCAACGATCACCTATCAAAGCTAGAATGCATTTTCTTGAAAAACAGTGATTCATCTTCGTAGATGATAAACTCTTGAACTTTGCTATATTTAATATGAACTAGAAAACAAATCTGGACTATTATATTTATACTTTCAATATGGATATGTTCTTAACAACTGTTTTGATTTGTCTATTATGGTTAGCAGTTTTTATTGTGAAAAGGTTGCATAAAACTAAAAGGTTTTCCAAAAAATATTTTGTTGGATGTGTTGGTCCTGTACCAAATGTTTTGCTCGGAAATGGGTTTGACTTTGTTGGTGGCAGAGAGGGTAAGTTCTCAGTCTAAACCGGGTATTTCAAATTTGGCTATTACCATTAGGATTTCAAAAACGGTAAGAGCTACGAAGTCGGTAAATGGGGGCAAAGTTGCGCATTCAGATAACTAAGAAGATGATACTACTAAAGGTTATCAATTCAGATTATTTCTGGAAATAGACGAAAAAACCGAGATTACTTAAAATTGTTTTTATTTTTCCCTATTTGAGCTGGAATTAGAATTTATATGACGTTTTCGTCGTTTTCCTCTTCTGTCTACAATATTTTACTGTAAACATCATAGTGGAATTTTGCATAGATGAAGAGGGTTTTTTAATTCTGATTTCAAAAATGTACGTATATATACACATTTCATATCCGTCACATCTAAACCAATACACACATCTTGAAATTTAAATAACAGATATCAGTCTAAGGTGAAGTGTCATCTAGAGCGCATCCATCGTCCTAAAATAATGCCTGTAATAGGCAGGGGCAAACTGTCTAAGAGTCTTCTCAAAATCTAAGGCACTTTTTAATTTGTGACATAATTGCATAAACAAGATCAACTATAAAAATACTGATTTTTTAAAAATAACTAAGGTGGCAATGTTAATATGCAATTTATTTTAAATTATCAACTCAAAGTCAGGAAAAAAATAAAAACAATTTTGTTAAAAGAGAATGCTTTGTAATGAAGCTTCCGGTATTGAAATACTTTGACGGTGATCATGTATTTAGGGCCTTATTTGTGGGGTCCTGGCACAGACCTAGGAGCATGGTGGGATCTTTTTCTCGCTTAGATTACTTGAGACCAAGGATAGAAGGCTCAAACATTTGAAACCTGTTTTTAAAGATTTAATAGTCGTTTATTTTTCTCCAATGTTTTTTGAAGTATGACGCTTCAAAAATATTGAAAAATATGCGCGTTTTCCCGCGGTTTTCACGAACTTTCTTCGGAAAAGCACCCTTATGCACTTATCGCAAATTTTTTTGAAAATGAGATCTTTTTTTGATGTTATATGGCATGTACATAACGAAAAACCATGTCACTCATTTCCACCTCTCTTTTGTCTATCTGTCTGTCTGTCTGTCCTCTAATCCTATCGCCTATACCTTGAGAAGTGCCGCTCAGATTTTGATGAAATTTTTACAAAATGTTACTGCTATGCCAAGGGCAAAAAGCGGAGAAAAATGCCAAAAACATAAAAAATAAAAATCCTGATCATTTTTGAAAACATATTTACAGATAAAAAAATTGGGAGTGGAGGTTGTAGAGGATGGGGAGGGTATACCTCCATTTTTTTATGTTAGTGTATTTACATGCTGCTCCCAACCTTGCTAATTCTACGCAACTATTAGACGTATTTGTCAGATCATAGATTGCCCCGTACATAAGACCTTAGAAATATTCTCAGCATATGGCTCACCCCGCGTCTGCTTCTGCTTCCGGTGGCGTGCCATTCCTGGTAAGTGTTCTGGTATTACTGCCGCGTCGCGCCACAGCGTAGTATTTCCCACGTATTTCCTATGCCATGACCGCGAGGCCACGTCTGGGATAGGTATCAAGGAGAGGCGACGTTGCCAAATGGCATACCGGTAAGAAAACTGTCTATGGACCTGTTTATGTTTTTTTCCGAGGGTCAAGTCAAACCACCTAATTGACGCCACCTTTCTATACTAACGCAGCCATGTATGCAGAAGTCTAAGTGCTGATGCTGAAAAGAGCAAAAAGACACTTTCGTTAATCCGATTTTTGAACTGCCTAAGAGTAGTAGAACTAGAATATGCGTCCTCAGACAGATTATTCCACAATCTTGACACCCTAGAAACAAAAAAGATAGCGTGCCGGCCAGTGCTGAATATAGGGAGTTCGACACGGTTAGGATAGGAGGCCAAAGTCAAGCGGATATGTCAGGCAGGTCCATTGCGTGGCCGCATCGCGAAGGAGAGCTCTGAGGAGCAAAGTCCACTGACACAGCGATAGAAGAGAGCCAGATCGCTGAACGCCCATTGGTGTGAAAGGATCTCAAGACTGTCCGTCAGAGAAGAGTCATCTATCTCTTGTACCGCCAACATGTGAGCTGTACTCGAGGCTATCTGGGCCTTGTTCAGAGTGAGAAGGTCATGCGGGGAAAAGTACTTCTTAGCCCTAGATAAATAACCTGGCTTTTTCTTAGAGGTTGCCGCGATTGACGAGATGTATTCATGCCAAATCAAGTTCCCGGTGAACTGGACTCCGAAATGAATGGCTCTTTGCTTGAAACCGGATGAGCGCTTGGGCGCTTCTTGTTAGTCAAGGTACAGTACTACTTTGTTTTGGAAGCATTAAACTGTACCCGAAGGTTCCGCCCCCAAGCAGTGATAGCCTCCAGATCTCTTGACACTCTGAATCGATTTGATCGTACAGGAAAGGTTGTTGATATGTAATAAAAACAATATCCAGGTCAAGATGACTGGGGAACACCCGTCTTGACACTGAGGGCTGAAAAGTCGAAACACATCAATTACGATGGATTTCTTGTGGTCAGTGAGGAAGTCAGCCACCCATCTGCAAAGCTTCTCTAGGAAGCCAAAGGGTGGAAGTTTGCATAAATTAAGAACTGAAGAGCGAGGCGGCAGTGACCCTACCCTACGGTGTAGGCTAAATGTGTTTTAAGCGATAAATCTATTTTAAAAGGAAAGTTTTGCAAATCGATTTATGACTTCTTCCGTATAGGCACGAACATCATAGACATATAAGAGTGCCAGTCCAGTTAGGGGATTCTCTGCAATAGAGGTTCACAACCACGTCTTGAGCCTCCTGAGCGTTTTCTAGATCATCACTGTTTAAGTGACTCTCGGAATATAAACAGCTAACTTAAATAAATTAAGTGTCTCTGCGGATAGACGCTCCTGAAGATCGGTGATTACATTGTCTGGAAGAGGGAAGTACACAGCCCTTCGAAAATACTCTTCCGGCGACAGTAAAAGCAATTTTGTGAAATTTGGTCACAGCGTTAAATGCGCGCGCGAAAAGGTTTTTCTTATACTGCTGTCCAAATGTCTGAATTTTCAACGAAGAGCTGATTCCCTCACCACCTCACCCGGGAATACTTACGCTAGTACCGTCACTTTAGGTGTCTATTTATTAAAGACCTTTGAACTTAAAATTATAAATTGGATCATAAAATTGATTGCTTAAGATGTGTGAAAATTTTGGGACTCAATGTTTATAAAGGAGAAATTAATTTAAAAAAATATCTTGGCTCCTATCTGTCGTAGAAAGTTAGATAATATGCTTTTTTTAACCGCATATCCAGATCAACTTGATAAACTAAATTATATTGGAAAATAACGAGCTTATTGTAAATGTTTATAACTATAAAAATGGCTATTTTTCAACATCATTTTTAACAACAATTTTGAAATAAATACTTTTTGCATAAATTCTTGAAGTTGAGATGTGCAGGAACCCATTTCACTTTTGTAAAATGCTCTATGACCATACATTGGGCAAGAACAGTTGTTTAAATAATTCATCACTGGAATAATTAATTAGCTTTTTACAAAAACGATTAAACCGATTTGGCACATTTCTTAACACCAATGACATGTATTCAATGTTGCTGAATAGCCCCGTATTTAGCCTAATTTTTTATCGGTTTTAATTCTTTCAAAACAAAATTGAAGGTCTCTGTGTGCTCTAAAATATCCAGGTTACCGATTATTCATAAAATTTAATTTGAAAATTATAAAAGCAAAATACTGAATTTGTTTATCAAAAACAACGCATATCTGGCTGTATTTGTTTATCTATTTCTCATTACAAAGACCATTTAAAACTTTCAGATATCTGCTAAACTTTTTTTCACCTTTTTTTATCTAGCCTGGACTATTGAATCTATTTTCTTTTTACAGGGTGCGGCAGAGAGGACGGACGTTTTTGGGATGGGTAGTACTCTCCGCCACCGTCTACGAGAGAGGTGGGGAGGGTGCCGTTTGACTCGTGAGATCCTAGCATTATTTTATCAGTTGTCGTTATGGAGCCTTGGACGGTGGAGCACCGCGTTTTCGCCTATGATTGTTTCGTCCGAAATTATGAGTCAGTCATCGTCGTACAGCGTGAGTTTCGTCGCCACTTCAACATTCATCGGAATAGAGCTGTTCCCTCTCGAATCAACATCCTTCGTTGGGTTGAATCACTTCGCAGGCGTGGTGAACTGATCAACAGAAGACCAAGAGGAGCGCCGCGAATAGTTCGAACTCCTGAAAATGTTGAACGCGTTCGACAGGTCTGTCTTCGCAGTCTGACTGGATCTGCCAGGAAACACGCTGCTGCACTTCGCCTTAGTGATCGTTCGGTAATGCGAATTTTGCGTTTTCAGCCCTACAAATTGGCTATTGTGCAACAGTTACAGCCCGGAGATTATGCACAACGAATGAACTTCGCACGTGAGATGGAAGCACTGATCGATCAAAATGAGAACCTCATTTTGTTTATGAGTGTCGAAGCCCACTTTCACCTAAACAGCAGAGTACACGCGAACAAGCCCCGAACTCTGGACGAATTGAATGGCGAAATTCGCGTGGAAGTCGCCCAAGCTGAGAGAGCGATGTTGGAGAGAGTCTACGCGAACTTCCAAGAACGCGTCCAGCACTGCATCAACGATTTCGGCCACCACATGCCTGATGTGATTTTCCACACTTGACTGTCTCAAATGCTATTTCCTTGTGAACCTGATTCCATCAATAAATTTGTTTTCGAGTAAAAATTAACTATTTTATGATTTTTTTAAAACCGTCCATCCTCTCTGACGCACCCTGTACATATGTTATGTATATAAAAATGAATCCCTATTTTGCGTGGTCACGCCAGAACTTGAGAACGACTTTACCGATTTCATTCATTTTTTGCTGTATGGAAAATTCTTGCTGAAAGAAAAATCAAGAAAATTGGGAAATTATTGAAAATCTTATGATTATTTGAGCTACGCGCGTTTGACAGTTTGCTTGAGCATGGAGCACGCACAGC